GGGGCTCCTGGGATCACCTCTGCTGCTCCCTGGGGCTCCTGGGATCACCTCTGCTGGTCCCCGGGGCTTCTGGGATCACCTCTGCTGGTCCCTGGGGCTCCTGGGATCACCTCTGCTGGTCCCTGGGGCTCCTGGGATCACCTCTGCTGCTCCCTGAGCACCTTGGGATCACCTTAAGGAAGTAGGGTTACTTTGTGAGTGTAACTGTGCACTTGGGCACACAAGTGTGGTTCCTTGAGTTCTGTTTTTCATGTTTGGTAATTAATTGTTCATCTGTGCCTGGACTTCCTGTGTTCAGGAAATGGAGCTTCTGTGGCTTTGAACACATGCAGTGTTCACAAGGACAGGGCCTTGTATTTGTTCTTCACTGATGTTAGAGTAGTGCCTAGTGCATAAGTTGGTGAGTATATTTGTTCCCTAATGGCAAACAGGTAGCCAAGACACTGGAGTCTATGCAGTAAATGTGTGCCAATAAGGCACTGCCTGGCTGGGCATGTGGCTCAGTACAGTGCTTCCCAAGTGTGCATGAAGACCCTGGGGTTCATTCCTAGACCTGCATAAACCACGTGTGGGGTCGTAAACCTGTCATCACAGGATTCCAAAGGTGGAGGCAGGAGGATCAGGAGTTCGAGGATGTATAGTGAGTTTGAGGCCAGCCTGGGCTACAGGAAACCCAGTCTCAAACAACAAGAAGAATAACAAAAATCCCTATTTTCTGGAAAATCCCCATACTTTGTAAATATGATCTCAGTGAGTCCTTGTCATGTGCTTTCAAAGCAGTAGCACCTGTTTCTGTGTGAGAAGGAAGGACAGGCCCATCAAGGCTGCTAACTGGCCACTTGGCTAGGACGGCGGTTGCCTGCCTGCCTACTGGGGTTCTTTGTTTGCTTACTTTTTAATTAAACTAATGAATTTTTAATCATCTTGAGACAGGGGCTTACTGTATATCCTTGAACTCCCTATGTAGACTAGGCTGCCCTCAAACTCAGAGACCTGCCTGCCTCTGCCTCAAAAGAGCTGAGATTAAAGCCACACACCATTACGTCTGGCTCTCTTGTTTCCTTATTTTTGAAATTTACTTTTATTTGTTATAATTGTGTGTATGCGGGGGCAGCATGTGTATGTCACAGCTCGAGTGTGGGGGTCAGAAGACAGCTTTCAGGAGTCGGTTCTCTTTGCACTGTGGGTTCTGGAGCTTGGACACAGGTCATGAGGCTTGGCAGCAAGTGTTGTTACCCATCTCGCTTGCCCTTGTACTGGATTTCTTAACAAACACTTGCTCTTTTGGATTGGAAGCTTCCTGCCCCTGCTTTGGGGTAATCGTTAACAAAACTCAGTCAAATAAATGAGTTGCGATGCCTCTTAGAGGCTTGGTGTGGGGGCGAGAAACTTTCTAGAACATGGGTCTGTAAGGTCCGGCAACAGGATACTTTAGCTTGGGGTGGGAGGTGGCAGTGGTGGCGAGGATCTATGTGATGTTTAAGAAAGGAGTGGGTCTTTTTTGGGGGAGGTGTCCCTAAGGGCGGGGTACTCAGTTCTTCTCTCGGTGGAGTCTTGGTAGCTGGGCTGAGCTGGGCAGTGGATGGCTCTTCCTTCTCTCTCTTGATCAGGCTAGCTCTGGGCTGAGATAGCCCGGTGAGCATCATGAAGTTAGCAGACAAGGCAGTGTGCAGTGTTGACAATGGGAACCTTCTGAGCATTAGGGTGTCTGTCAGACTGACTTTTGGAGGCATGGGTAGTTGACTTCTATGGGTCTCGTGTGTGTGTGTGTGTGTGTGTGTGTGTGTGTGTGTGTGTGTAGTGGATATACGTGTTCATGTGCGTGAGTGCACATGTGTGAGGCCAATACCAGATACCTTCCTAAGCTGCTTTCCACCTTATTTATTTTGTATTACTATTATTATTACTATTATTGTTCTAATTTTATTATAATTATTGTTCTAATTTTAAATTAATTTTCAAATTATTTTATTTTGTATATGTATGCGTGCCTGAGTGACTGTTGTGTGCACATGTATGTGTGTGTGTACTCACATGTGTCAGGGCACGTATGCGGACTCAGTTCTTTCCATCCGTCTTGCCGTGTGTCCCAGAGATCAAACGCCTGTGTGGCAAGTGTTTTCACCTGCTGAGCCTCGTGTCAGGCCCCAAGTGAGCGTCAGCACTTGGGGTGGGCTCATTCTGGATTGTAGGGCTGTCCTCGCTCTGCTGAGACGTTTGGTGGGTACCCTCGGCCTCTGCTCGCTTCACGCCGGTGGCATCTGGCTGTCTCTAAGTCGCCACAATGCAAACTAGCTCCAGTCACGACAGGTTGTCTGTCTCCGACACCTGCCTGCAAAGGCCTTGCTTTCGCCTCCTCTCCTTGTTCTAGAATCTTCCACCCTCTCACCCCCACCCCACCCCCAGTGCCCGTCTCTCCTGAGCCTACAAACACTCAATGCACCCTACACTCCGTTTTCCGCTTTGGACCTCCAGTTCTGCGGCCCTCCTTCAGGACACACTCTGGCTGTCTTGTCTGGATGCCCGGCTTGTGTCTGAACACAGCCTGGCCTCGGCGACCACTCTGGGTCCCTGCCCCTGGGAGGCGTTTTCACTTGTGGCTGGCTGTCCTGTGTTGTGTGCCGCCCTCCAGCAGGGGTAAGCTTGTTCTTTCCCGTGTGCTGTGTGTAGACTCCCTGACCTTCACCCTTCTCCTGACCCACTGTGTCAAGTCC